GTACATACACCTGTATTCGTGTGTGTGTGTGTTTCTGGTACATACACCTGTATTCGTGTGTGTGTGTGTTCGTGTGTGTGTGTTTCTGGTACATACACCTGTATTCGTGTGTGTGTGTGTGTGTGTGTGTGTGTGTGTGTGTACAACATACCCTGTATGTTGTAGTTGTTTCCCTGCTCTTCAGCAGGTCATCATGTTCTGCAGAAGCCTGCCAATCACTCGTTCATTTCAATCAGCTGTGCTAAAGCTAAGATAAATAATGATTTATCATGAAAATACCTTCCATTATTGCATGCTAATGTTTGTTTGTGTGCTTAGGTGAGCTCTCTGGAGCAAGCCATGCTGGACGCTCTGGTGATGGACAGGGTAGACTTTGTGAAGCTGCTCATAGAAAATGGCGTCAGCATGCACCGTTTTCTGACAATCAGTCGTCTGGAGGAGCTGTACAACACGGTAACAACATGCACCAGCTACAACATAAATATACACCGGGCTGAGGAGAAATTTGTTTTATAATACTCTCATCTGTTCCAGAAACATCCTCCCAACAACCCAACTCTCCTCCACCTGGTTAGAGACGTTAAACAGGTTAGCAGTCAGTTCGTAGGGTCGCTCCAGCTGACGGGAACTCCAGTCTTCTAAATGTTTGGTGTTTGTGTGTTGCAGAGTAATCTTCCTCCAAACTATAAAATCACTCTGATCGATGTAGGTCTGGTCATTGAGTACCTGATGGGCGGGACCTACAGGTGCAACTACACAAGGAAACGCTTCAGAATAATTTACAACAATCTCCACGGCATCAACAGGGTAAGTGTGGGGAATGTGGCTCATCCTGCTGCCAAAACAACCTCAAACCTCTGATGATTGTTTAAAGATGTGAAGTCACTTTGGATCGTTGTTTTTGGTCAGTTATAAATTTAAAAAATGTCTGAAGTGTGTGGAGTTCTAACTGCATGAGAGGCCGTGTCATGTACTCAGATTCTCACTCAGATTAGACTAAAACTACTCAGCCCTCACTGCGGAGGGTCATTGGGGTCGTCATGGTTTAGTGAKTCTGAAAATGTTTCTATCTTCTGCATAGAGGTCTGGGCGCCACACYGCAGGTCCTGATTTTCATTTGAGGAAAAATCACGATACTTTTAGCATGCAGGCTGATAAGAAGGAGAAGACGAGACACAATCACTTCATCAAGACTGCCCAGCCATACAAACCCAAGGTAACTGCTGTTTGATTAAAAAAACACAAGCTTTCATTTAAACAAGAAAAGCCAAATCACTTTTTTCAGTGTTTTTGCATCTAAGTCATTGTTTGAGAAGGACTTTACCTCCCAGTTCCCCTTTTCATCCTCCTTTTGTGCTTGTCCTCAGTTGGAGACTGCTGCTGATCAGAACAAGAAGAGAAGCAAAGAGGAGATTGTGGATATCGATGACCCAGAGACCCGCCGCTTCCCCTATCCTTTCAACGAGCTCTTGGTGTGGTCGGTGCTGATGAAGAGGCAGAAGATGTCTCTGTTTTTTTGGCAGCACGGAGAGGAGAACATGGCAAAGGCGCTGGTGGCGTGTAAACTCTGCCGCTCTATGAGCTACGAGGCCAAGAAGAGCGATGTGGTGGACGACACCTCAGAGGAGCTCAAAGAGCACTCAAAGTAAGTTTTTCTGTGGCTTTAGAAAATCACCTCCTGWGTTTTTAATAATATGGACTAACGTTAATGACCTGCGTATCAGTGAGTTTGGAACATTAGCAGTGGATCTACTGGAGCAGTCCTTCAGGCAGGATGAAACCATGGCCATGAAGCTCCTCACCTACGAGCTGAAGAACTGGAGCAACTCCACCTGTTTGAAGCTGGCCGTCTCCTCTCACCTGCGGCCCTTTGTTGCTCACACCTGCACCCAGATGCTGRTGTCGGACATGTGGATGGGACGGCTGAACATGCGCAAGAACTCCTGGTACAAGGTTCATGCTCCATCTAGACTTTTATTTTTGGTCGCAAACAGAAAACTGGGCTTATTTTTAGTTTGAGAATCAGCATGTGTCTTTGAGATTCTGATTTTTAAAGTTTGAGAACAATTTAATTGATTAAACTTTAGTTGTGTTGTGGTTATTAACGCTTGGGGCACCTTTAACATGACTATACTCTTTCTTTACCTTAAAGGGATCCCTGATTAGTTGTAACATTAGACTTTGTTTGATAAATATTTATTTTAACTGTAAAATAAAGACTGTAAAAATACTGTGGGCTGTTTAGTTTTGTAAATTCTTAAAAATATATTTTAACACGGATGGAGTCATTTTATTTACACACAAAGCATTGTGGGTAAATGATGACGTGGATAGGTCGTCTGTGTGAGCGAGCTATATCCACCCTGAAGGTTAATCTTGGACAATATCTGATGATCGACTCTTTTAAATGAAACCAGAGAGCGTTGACAGAGAGGAGAAGGTAGAAATGACTCAGCCTGTAACTGAAAATATYGWTGGAGGACAACAGAGCTGCTTCATGGAAGAAGAACCTCAGCTTAGCCTGTTAACCTTCGCGCTAGCGCCAACACTCTATTGCCTTACATGTATTAGCTCGGTGCTAGCGCAGCAAACTAACGAGCTAAACTGAGGTCCTCCATCCATATTTTCAGTTGCAGACTGAGTCATTTTTGTGTTCCTCTCTCTGTCATGTGGATGGAGGACCTCAGTGATGAGAGGAGAATGTGTAGCGCTGAGCTAATACATATATATTTGGTGATAGCATCGGGGCTAACGCTAAAGCTAACAGGCTAAGCTGAGGTTCTTCTTCCATGAAGCAGCTCTGTTGTCCTCCATCCATATTTTCAGTTCCAGGCTGAGTCATTTCTACCTTCTCCTCWCTGTCAACGCTCTCTGGTTTCATTTAAAAGAGTCGATCATCAGATATTGTCCAAGATTAACCTTCAGGGTGGATATAGCTCGCTAGCAGCCTCACACTGAGGACCTATCCACGTCATCATTTACCCGGAATGCTTTGCGTGTAAATAAAATGGCCCCGTCCGAGTAATATGTTTTTAAACTTTTAGTTTAAAAATGATTAAAACTAAACATCCTACAGTATTTTTACAGTCTTTATTTTACAGTTAAAATAAATGTTTATTAAATAAAGTCTAATGTTACAACTAATCAGGGATCCCTTTAAGACCCGTAACAGTCAATGAAACTCTGTAATAAAGGTCTGGAGCCCCTGGGGGGTTGTTTTCATTTTATTTTGAAGGTAAAAGCTTAGATTTATTAGGTATTCATGAGAAAAGTATCATTTCAAGGTTCATGAAATTGGTCTTCAAACTGACATATTTATAGTCAAAGATAGTAAATGAATGTTCACATTTGGTGCCCCAAGGTTTAACAGTTCTACAAAACCAGAAGAAAAATGTAAAAATGATACAGAAATGCGATTTATTGGGGGTTTGATGTGGAAACTTTCAACAAACATAGCAGCAGCCACCCACATGAGTGTCTGTGTGTGTTTGTGTGCACCTCCAGGTGATTCTGAGTATCTTGGTGCTTCCTGCCATCCTGCTTTTGGAGTACAAATCTAAAGCGGAGATGGCTCATATCCCTCAGAGTCAAGATGATCACCAGATGACCATGGAGGACAGCGAGCACAACTTTCAGAACATAACAGAAGACATCCAGATGGTAAAACCTCACTCCTTCTCTGTGACTGACTGAAGCCTGTGCCACCGGCAGCTTTAATAAATCACTGGATAATCGAGAATATATGAGGGAGAAAATATTATTTTATGCTAAAGACGCACCTAGTAGGTTCAGTTAAGTGATCCAGACATGCAGTTTTAATGCATCAACCCTTTGCAGTATTATTATATACTCGTATTATGATGCTTTTCCATCAGATTATTCATTTGCTCATCCTTATCATAGCTGGTCTAACGGGATCTTGTTAACCTCTCTGCAGGATGTCTTCAAAGAGTCCCGACCCCATGAGCACATGGAGGTGAAACATGACATGGAGACACARGTCCGCTCCCGAAAGCTGCCCCTAACAAGAAAAATCCACGCCTTCTACCACGCTCCCATTGTCAAGTTTTGGTTCAACACGGTATAATGATTTAATTACTAATCTTTGAAATTATTCCCTTTTTAATGATATTTTTGTGTGTGTGTGGTATAAATCTATGTGGACGGGACACGTTTGGAAAAGCTGTGAAGAATAGTTTTTAAACACATTTTTACCCACTAAAATTTTGCCAGTGATCTCAGGCCGTTAAAACACATTTTCTTAAACCTTCATGTGCACATTCACCTCATTTCTTCTCAGTTGCTTTTGCTGTTATTTATATATATTAAAAAGAAAAGACCCGAGGCTGGTTCTCAGGACCCCGTGAGTCCGTGCTGCTGCTGGTTTTATTTGCAGAACAAAGGTTTAGTTRTCAGGTTGTTGGAACTGATAACATCAGTGAACACCCGGCTACATAATATAGTCTCTGCCTAAGCTTATCTAAATCTGCCGTACCTGCTTCCATCCTGATTCCAACACATCAGCCCAACACTGCATCACTGACTCATGCATCACCCATGGGAGAATAGCTGATTTTTCCATCACTTCGAGCCTTGCTTGTCAAGGTCCAGCTGCTTAAAAAAAAAGCTGTGGACCTAATCAAAGTTGCACCAGGAGACTGGCGTGTCTGCTTACATCTGTGGGTATTTTTTCCCACAGTCTGCGGTTCGATTGAGCAGCTTTATTTAAACAGCGTGTTGATTCCCCCCAGGGAAGCAGCAGTATATAGTTTCTGAACAAGTAAAGGGTCTACAGCTATTCTCTCTTGACGTTTTTGCAGCAGTGCTTTACGTTGACAGTGGCACGGTTTAAATACTAATATTAGGCAGGTAAAATGTTTCTTACTGCAATTTAAAAATAATGACCAAAAAACTACCTGACAACTATAAATGTCTGATTAAAGATTATACACACTCACTGATGAGATTTATTCAGACAATAGCTGTTCATCTTTTGCAGTAGATGCCAGATGTTAAACAATAGTTTTTTGCAGTAAAATTAAGTCTTAAAAACTGTCAAACATTAGAAACTATATGCCTAATTATTAGGTTTTTACCTAATAATTTAAGAATTGTTTTGTAAGGTTTTGAGGTTTTTAAGAATTGTTGTCCAGACGACAACTTTGATGCTGCATTATTGAATTATGGCCACTAGAGGGCAGATCTGACAATCTTAAGATGTTGGTAAATAAAATACATCAAAAATATTTAGTAATATATTTGAACCCTAAAGCTAAATGGAAACAACATAAAAAATGTAACTGGTATCATACAAAACCAGTAATTCTGTATTTGTAATCTGGTGAACATTGTTGCTTTAAAGACAGRAGTTTAGTTGTTTTAGGAGCCTCGCCTACATTTATATAATTTTTCCACTTGGCTTTGTGAGCTGGTTTCATCAAAAACTTCAGACAGAGAAAATTAAATGTCTTTTCCTCTCAGTTTATAAGCAGAAACCTAACCAGCAGCTGAGCATGGAGGCCAGAGGCTTTAGAAGGGAAATAAGTGTTTTGAGACCTTTTCGAAAGTATAAAGTGTTTTGTATACAAGACAAATTGTTTAGTTGTGTATTAATTTACTTTTGTTTTAAATGTGTCGATTTGCCAGTTTTTCCATAATGTTTTTTTGCCTCCTGTGTTTAGCTCTTCTACCTGGGCTTCCTGATGTTGTACACTTATGTAGTCCTGGTGAAACTGCCMGTTTGGCCTTCTCCTCAGGAGTGGGTGGTCATCCTCTATATCTTCACCTCTGCCATCGAGAAAATCAGAGAGGTGTGTAAAACTAACAAAAATATTCACAGTTGAAGTTAATGGGTACCATAACTTCATATGTTAAAGACAATAAAAAGTATTTTTTAAGCAGATTTTTACTAAAAGTTAGTCTGTTCATGTCTCTCCCTTSTCTTTCGGCTTCTCTCTTTTCTCAGATGTTTATGTCTGAAGCAGGTAAAATAGGCCAGAAAATAAAGGTGTGGTTCAGCGACTATTTTAACGTCTGCGACTTTCTGGCTATCGTGACGTTCTTTATCGGCTTCGGCTTGAGGCTGGGTCAAGGTGTCTTCTTCATCCCGGGGAGGACAATTTACTGTCTCAACATCATCTTCTGGTACGTTCGCCTCTTGGACATACTGGCTGTGAACCAGCAAGCTGGACCRTATGTCATGATGATCGCTAAAATGGTGAGTTCTTCATAATGAAAATATTSGTTTGAGTGAGCATTGAACTGCACTTTTTCAATTATGTGAATGTCTGTTTTATTAAGTAGGGGTTTACTGATAAAATCTGGTCCAGCTAAGACTGAGGGATTTCATGTCTGAACAGTTAAACAATATTTAGTTTGTTTTGTACCAAACAAAAATCAAATCATCTCATCCTGTTGRTGGCAGAAGTATTGTGAGATGAAAGGCAAAATATTTTAACTTGCCATTTTTGTTTAAGAGCTGCTGTCCTGCAAAGACAAACACTGTTAATTGTTTTTGTTTACATCAGTGTCCATGTTTTGTTTTGCTTTGAACATTCACATTTAAACAGCACTGATTATCTACATGCTGTTATCAGGTATTGTACCAAACTCTAACTCTAAGTGACCACATCACGTCCCTCATGTCCGGTCCTTTTGTGCTTTTTACATTTTTAATTTCACAATGTATCTTTTAACTGGTTATTAATAAAGGGATAATGTTTTTTGGTTCCTTGCTGAGGTTTCTATTAAATTAGCAGGAAAATAGCTCGGCTTAAGTTGACTAGACATTATCTAAATTTATTAAATGTATTTTTGAACCCTCATAGTTGTGTTCTTCTGAGTTGGGTTCATCTTTCCCTCATTTCCTGACAGTTCAAAGGTCCTGCTAGTTGGATTTTAACTATCGTTAACCTGTGTGCATGCTAGCTGCAGTTTTATTACTTCATACATAAAATACTAAATACATGTAAAAAATTACCATGTAACTAAAACTACAGTGGATTTAATTTCAGCAAGAAAACAAATATATTATTCCCAACTTCTTAAACCCCCTGTAGTGAAACTAGATTTAATTCAAATGTTCATGCTCCYTTCATGTGTTCATAGTTTGTTGGCCCTGAGAATTTAAATACACGCATTATAAACAACTTTTCTTTAATTTTGAAATTTTGAACCTAAGTTAAAGAATAGAAGAATGTTAGTTTTATTTGTTTAACAGGAAAGTAAAATAATTTCCCTTTAAGCAAAAATGCTAAAAGGTTGTCTGTGTTAGATTCCCAGGGCTGATTCAAACACACTAAACTCTCAAGTCTGTGAGATTTAAATATTTAAAGTATGTATTACTGAAAACTCAGTCATTCACTTCTGTGCTCTCCCCTGCAGGTGGCCAACATGTTTTATATCGTGGTGATCATGACTGTTGTCCTGCTGAGCTACGGGGTACCAAGGAAAGCCATCCTTTACCCAAACGAGGAGCCCAGCTGGACTTTAGCCAAAGATGTGGTTTTTCAACCATACTGGATGATGTACGGGGAAGTGTATGCCTATGAAATAGACGGTAAGGATGCTGAGCAGTGTAAGGGCAATTTAAAGCCTGAGTCAGCAGATTATCATCCTGTAACACCTAATCTCACACTGAAACTTTCMTCACTGCAGCAGTGACCTCTTCCATTAATTCATTGCTCAATAGAAAATATACAGTAAAATGTTTTTGTCGACTTGCTTTCCTTTAAAATCTAGTTTAGGAAAATCTTACTGTTTGTATGATAGAAGCAATCTTCTTCTTCTCAGTTTGTGCCAATAACACTGAAGGGGAAGCAAAGTCCCTGTGTGGTCCAGGAGTGTGGCTCACTCCTTTCCTACAAGCCGTCTACCTCTTTGTACAGTACATACTGATGGTCAACCTGCTTATTGCCTTCTTTAAGTAAGTGAAAAGCATTCGAATGACAACTTCCCCTGTTGTGTGGTTCCAGTGTGTTCATAGTTTTTTATACTGACTCTTCATTTTGCCGTCTTCTAGCAATGTGTATATACAAGTAAAGTCCATCTCTAATCTGGTGTGGAAGTACCAGCGCTACCACTTTGTTATGGCTTACCACGAGAAGCCTGTCCTCCCACCGCCCTTCATCCTGCTGTCCCACGTCTACTCCCTCTTCTGCATGTGTCGCAAGAGGAAGAAGGAGAGCACCTATGGACCAAGTACCTGAACGATCCRGCTTTTCTACATTAAAAACAAAAAGCTCAGCAGCACGAACGATTAACACCCTGCTTTACTTTCAGAGCTGTTTCTCACCGAGGAAGACCAGAAGAAGCTTCATGATTTTGAGGAGCAGTGCGTGGAGACGTACTTCCATGAAAAGGACGATCAGCATCATTCAGGGAGCGAGGAGCGCATACGTCTTACCTCAGAAAGGTGGGACTGTCCTCACCGTATCTAAAATAATCTTACAGTTGAATTAACCTCTTAAGCGCCATGGGGTTTTCTTGAGGTTTTTTCTCAAAATACCATGCCGAAATGTAATTGAGMGTATCTCAGAATTTACAAACTCTACTTAAATAATCTTGGTGTCAAAATAAAGCAAACACTTGAGAGATTTCATCAGAAGTYTGAGTATTAAAACAGCTGCTGTGGTTTTAGAGATATAGGGGATGGAACATAATTGTTTTTTTTTCACTCTCATCTGACTATTTTTTTCATTAGACAGTATATAATTCATTTAAAACCATAATGAAGTYGGCTAAAAACTCTTGGAAACCATAAAAACCACTTGTGGACATTACCGTGCAAAGATTCATGCTGCTAATATGAACTGGAGCAAAGTTACAGAGAATCTAGTAAAGAAATAATTTTGTCGTTCTGCACAGGACAGACCATGATGGTACCATCAATAAATGTAAAGAAATCTTAGGTTTTTACTTTATTTATATTTTCTTACCTGCCTTATAAGACTTGTTATTGAATGTTTGGATATTTTTTTAAAGAACAAACATTTATTTGTCACCATATATATTGTATAAAATAATGAGAAATTATATTTGATTTCAGTTAGATCATATTCACTCAAAATCAAGTAAAAAACCAACTTTTAACACACTTTACAACATATTTATACTTTGACTTGCTTTAAAAAATGATATAAAAAAATTGTCCTTTACAGATTTGTAACAATCCCATTTTGTACAGTTTGTTTACTTTCTGATTCAACTGCCTGTCGTTTGAACTGTGTTTGATGAATGTAAAAACAGTTTCCATGAGCTTTTAGCCAAGATTCTTCGCTTTGTTTTGATACCAAACATGTCCAGGTTCAATTGACAGATCTCAAGTTAAAAGAAATAGAAAACAGAAAAAGCTGTTTTGCCCCCYMTATRGGGGGCATGGGGCTCAAGAGGTTAAATAAGAGAAACAATTGTTTAGATATTAGGCTGGTAGGAGAGTTGGAGTATTCATATTAGCTACACTGCAGGTCTGAAACTGTTTCTGCTGAACTTTTAATCAATGAGTTCTGAAGCTGTTTTGTGTTTCCAGGGTTGAGACGATGTGTCTGCAGCTGAAGGAGGTCGGCAACAAGGTGAACTTTATAAAGCGCTCCCTGCACACGCTGGACTCGCAGATCGGTCACCTGCAAGACCTCTCGGCTCTGACTGTGGACACTCTGAAGACTCTAGCTGCTCAGAGAGCCTCCGAGGCCAGCAAGGTCCACACTCAGATCACCCAGGAGCTCAGTCTGTCCAAGAACGTGGTCCCAAGCATTGCTCCTGTGCCAGCAGACTCCAAAATGTCCGTCATAGGGAAACGCAGCGTGGGGGCCTACTTTGGGTCCTCGTTTCCTCAAGCAGGAGCCAACATCGCTGATTCTCTTTTCGGGACCGGCGCTGAAGGAGGAGCTGGGCAGGAAAGCCATCGAAGATTCGGGCCCGGCCCTGGAACAGAACTGAGGCTGGACCCAGCGTTGAGTCCAGAGAAAAGGAGCTTATTTGGGCTTGGACACCTGGCCGCAGAGGCTGGTTCCTCGGGCGGTGCCGGCTCCAGTGCCTTTGTCCAAAGTGCTGTTTTAGGGACGTCTCCGGAGCTCCGTCACAGAGGCCTCCCGCTCTCCCAAAGCAAACTAACCCGTCCACAAGAGCTGCAGCTTCCCGACTCCCCATCCAGCCTGCCCAGTGTGCCCTCCTCTGCTGCTCACTTCCAAATCAGCACCCCATCCCAGCCCAGTGGCTCCAGCCACCCCGAACTCGCCCTGGCTGGACTTTACCACCAGCCCCCGCAGCCWGAGCACATTCCTGTAGAGTTTGGGGCGTTTGTAGGTGAGTATGAGAACCAAGCTAAGTGTGCTGCTGAGAAAATACAGACGGAGGAAGAGGAGAAGTGTGTTTGTGTGTACCCTACAGTCATTGTTGTCTCTGAGAAATCCAGCTCTGCTCAGCCTGCCTGCATGCCTGCTTACGCTGGGGAGCCTGAGAATACTCAGGGGTTGAGGAGGGGGGAGGGGGAGGAGGGCGCCATCCGGGGGTCTGTGAATGAAGRGTTCAGCGAGGAAGACGTCCAGCGTGGCGCTCTGAGAAGAACCACACACACAGACACCCTCCCAGGTCCAGAGGCTTCACCGCCTCTCCAACCAGGCTGCTCACAGGCCCCTGCTGCAGCGACCGGGAGACCCCACAGACGAACGAGAGGCGGTGTTTCAGAACCAGCGGCCCCCCGGTGCCACGATCAAACTGAGTCGGAAAACAAAGACGGCGAGAAGATGATGTCGAGAGAAGCAGAGATGAGAGGTTTGAGTCTTAGTGTGAGCTCAGGTTGAGGGCTGCTGGGTGCTGGGAGCCTCTTCAACCTTTATCTTCTGCCTCATTTCCTCGCTCTGCTTCTGTGGGTGGCAAGAGTTCACACAGTGTGACTGAAACACCACGTTTTATTGAGCTGAATGATGATATAATAATATTATGTTTGTCAGGTGGAGGATAACGCAGGGAAGAGTCAATAAGAGTCTGATTTTAGAGTTTTGTTTTGMMTMTTTTTTTCACCGTTGAAGTGGTGTTGAATCAGTTCATCCAGCTCTGATTGCATCGCAGCGTTCACCGAAGAGTTTCTAATTGTGTGATTGTTTGTGTTGACTCAGGACACAAAGAGACTTTGGATGTTCAGCACTCAACACCCAAAGAGACCTCCAGCAGGCAGCAGAGCCCGACCACACAGAGCAGGGCGCAGGTGAGTGTTTCAAAGTGARGTTCAGAAAACGAAGAAGAAAAAGTAAAGAGAATAGTGAAATTAGAAATAGAGATTAGAAGATATGTGTAATACTGTATATATCTATAAAGAAACCACAAGACAACACACCCGACATCTTGGCTGTACACCTGCTCAGGTAAATGTTGTGTGAGAAAGTTTCTGCTCTTACATCTCACCACAGACAGACGCTCGGCTCCAGTAGCTACACCAAGAAGTCAAAATGGAGAAAACAGATTTTATCTTGTTTGTCTTTAATCTATTAATCCTTGACTGTTTTCCATGGGCTCGTCTTCATGTGGCTGCAGGCCGAAGGTCACGGTCTCATCAGAGCCGTCAACTCGTACGCCGGCTTCACAGAGTTTTACAGAAACCCACCTTTTCTTCACCCTGACTCCAGTAAGATCTAAAAGAAAAGATAATTATTCCTCTGTATCTTCTAAGACTCTGTCRCTGCTGATGTTGGAAACATTCTGGTTGGTTGTTTTTTGTAGCTCTGACAAAGAAGGACAGGAGCAGAGTTTCTGCTGAAGACATCCCCAGAGCTGCAGTACTTGTAAGAACTCTTGTCTTTTTAATGTCTAAAGACAAAACTAAATCTTTTTTAAAAACATTTGTCTTCTCTGCCAGGAAAGAATTCAGGTCAAATCAGCTCAAGCCAGCAGCCTGTAAGTTCTTTCACCAGCCAACAATTAATGACTGTAAACTGAATTTAACAAACCTAAACATGATGGRGTCTGTCTGATTTATTTGTCTTTTCTCTTTTAGGAGACCCCCTGAGCAAGAAACACTAAACGGTAAGACGTCTCTCTCCAGTTTCTCAGGGTCATCTTCTGTTCAGTCAGACATTTTATAAATGATGACCTTTAACCTCTCTGCTGATTATTTTCACAGATAAATTATTGTTTAGGGTTGTGGTTTTTTTTTTTTTACCGAACCTAATTTTAGAAAAGAAAGTAAAGTTGTTTATTTAGTAGTAATGAAGATAAAAACTTTTATTTAGCCTGCACATGTCGTCCTTCTCTGTGTATTTAATAAAATCTTCACTGTGTTTTCAGCTGCTGTTTCTCTGTACGCTGCACGCCACCCTCACCTCGGGCCCAGAAAGGACTGTGAGTGTAAGATCTCACCAGCTGCATTTCCTCTGTTGTAATTTTAATTTAAAGCCAAAGCATCTTTTAGCACAGACGTAAATATCACTAGACTGAACCCCGCCCATACCGTCCACTGGTAGCCTGACAGCATGGAGGAGCAGAAACAGACCAAACAGGACAACAGCTCACAGCCTCCATAGAAACTAATAGATAAACAGCAGCTGAACTGGATCTGTTTCACAGATTATCTGTCATGTTTTTACAATAAATTAATAATTATGTTAATTTCATTCAACAATTATGTAAAACAGCAGATTTATACCAGAAAAATATATAATTTATAAGTAACAATGATCTAAACCAGACCTGAAGTCAGCCTGTATTTTAGACTTTAGCTAGTTGAAAAATGATGACTTCAGCAAGTAATAAAGTATATTTATTATTTCTTCTTAATGTCATAAAAAATAAGAATATTTATATTTACCAGTCAACAGAAAATGTTCTCTGGTTATA